TGCTTTTGCTTTCCCTGTTCTGCATGAAATGACTTCGACTCTATTCGAAAGTTAAATAAGGATGTTTTGATTTAATAGTATTTCCCACTTTGCCTATTTGAAAACTAATAAAATAGTGAGTTGTGATGAGTTACTGGGATTTCGAAGCATTTGGAACAATAGGTGAACAAGACAGAGCGTTAATCTTAGCAGCGATAGGCATCACAGAATTAGAACAAACGGCAGCGCAATCAACCGGAAGGATAGCTTGACGAGTGGGAGAATCGGAGGTTAAGGGTTCGAATTTAGCGCACTAAATCTTCTGCTTAATAATCTAATACTTTTTAAAAATTATTATCTTTGAGAATATTCCAGCTGTTGCACTGAATATAAACAATTCAGTATATATAGTGAGTGATGTATTAAACTTTCATAGGCACATACATCTGAAGAAGGATCGACAGTATCAATCATTTTACCAGTGAGTAATCGAAACTTGTCTGAAAAGGAAAAATGAATTTAATGTCTCCAAGACTTGATCTTGAACATTAGAAACAATAGGGATTACAGATAATGAAATATCCTCAAGATTATTTCCTTATTCCAATAATTTATAATTTTTGCGGAGTAGTACCATAGTTCAATCACAGTGGTATCGATGTTTTTTGATTTAAAGAATTTTCATAATTATAAACTAAAAAGCTTTTTCATTCAGTTCCGGTAAGAAGCCCGTTTGTAATATTAAATTTGTATCAAGAATTTACAAGCCTAAAGTGCTGGATGAGTGTCACACAGCGCTCACGTAAGGATATGCTCTGTTGGTAATGGAAGATGAAAGTTTTTCTTGATTACAGATAATATTATTGTAAAGCAACTAAAATTCAATATGGCATTGCTTCCTGAAATTAAAATGACGGCGATAAATTCATTTCTCTCAGTTTTACTTTTGTTCAATTTCTAACAATAAGCACTTACTTATATTTGAATAATTTGTTTACAAATGCTTAAAATATTCTGAGGTCTATTTTTAAGAAAAAGCATTCAATATATGTTTATTTCGAAGCAATTATTCCTATGAGTAGAAATTTTCCTTCACAACACAAGATCCAACACAACAGTTTCGTTACCTAACAACATTTTAGTTAAAACAAACCTTTCTCTTCCAAGGCTAGAATGAATGAACGAATTGCTTAGGTTTACATTTAATAGTAATTAAATCTTGCTAACTTATCAGTGAACTACTTTACTTTAAATTCAGTTGAACAAGTTCGACTACAGAAAGGTTTCCATGATTATTTTACGTATTAATTGTTCAACTATGACCTAAAACATAATTTCGTTTGAAATGTGAATGAACAAGTCCTAAGGAAAAAAATAATCATTAGAATTTCTATCCATTTAAGCGACATCATTGGTAAATTTTTGTGACGAATGTTAGCACACCTTGATATGAATGTACCTTGTGGAATTGATGTTTTTTCGTTAACTTTTGCTCTCTGAAATGTGTTTAAAATAAATGGAATTGATAAAGAAATGTGCAAAAATTAAAATCAATTGTCATTTTTAGAAAATCCCTTTATGAAAAATAAATTGATTAATTAGGAGATTGTTCTGTTTGTTGGGAAATTGTTTTTCTGTTGAACTCATTTCTCGGCAATACAGATTTATTCGGGAGGTAATATTGTTCTTGCACAATATTACTAGTTAACAACAAGAAAAAGGTACAAAATATGTATGTATACAACACGATGAATTGATAAGCAATGATAAATGAGTTATAGAAAAAGCAAATAATATGATCAACTAACAAACTCCTTATCGTTGCCTTGGATAATAATTTGACTGTTGGTTAGTTGATAGGTCGTTGAGTTGGAAATATGTTACGGGAAATGTATTTAACGAATAGAAGAATACCGTAGTTTGTTGTTCAATGGTGCAGATATGCGAAGATGTGGTCGTTTGTGGTTCAATCGTGGAGAATAAGCGAAAAGGATCTATCGTCTGCTCGGTTAAAAAATGAACTCAACTGTGTGTCTTGAGATTTTTTCATATATATATGTATATATATGGATTAGGAGGAGCTTTGTAAGCTCCATCGGGCTATCATGGAGGTATGGCAAGCCTTTGGCACTGTCCATTGTCCATTGTGCAGGTACTGAGACGTTTTTGTTTTACGCTGTCCATTGCTAGTTTTATATCCTCTTCATTGCTTTAATTTTACTTACAAGATTTCGTCATCCCGTTTTTTGGATATTATGGAAATTTTGTTTGAACGTAGCTTTAATTTCCATAATCCGGCAGAAAATTTGCATTATGATTTTCGGAGCTTTCCCGATAGTCCCATCTCGAAGGAATTTCCTTTTCCACACTCTTTTCACACTACATATCTCTCCCCAGTTTTCTGATTAATAATTAACTGGAAATATGCAAATTTGTTGAACTCCTCCGATTCCAAAAAAAAGAAACTTTAAAATTTTCGTAAACATAGCTATAGAGATTATTGAAACATTCTTCTCTCCTTTTAAGTTGATGATTCGTTGTTGACTTTCGTTTTGGTAATGAAACAAACAAAAATGAGGCTTATGAAATTTGCTCGTAAAATAGATTGGGAAGATTTTAATTGGAAATAACTCGTACTAGCAAGTTAACGAACGTGAATGTTGTGTACAACAGCTGACGGTCAAGTGTCCTTGTACGTCGTCCACTCTTATGTACGAGTTATTAAAAACAAAGAACTCATCGGTACAAGCGCAT